AAAACGAGGACCTAATGCAGGGGACTTAAGTGGAGAGGAAATGTTTTGAGAATGATGAGGGCAATGAATGTACAAATGCGCTTTACACAATTGATATATGTATGGATTGTGATAAGAGTTGTATGAGCCCCTAATAAAATGATTAAAAAAATATACAAAAGCCCATGGAGAGCAAATGTTTTGAGAATGATGAGGGCAACGAATGTACAAATGTGCTTTATACAATTGATGTATGTATGGATTATGATAAGAGTTGTATGAGACCCCAATAAAGTGATTTTTTAAAAAAGCTAGCGCCAATCATCTTTCTTAAACCAGTTTCCATCAAGTCAATTCTGACCCATGTCATGATGGCCACATGTGTACTCCATAGGCTTTGCTGTGGGTGAGACCTTCCAGAAGCAGATTGTGAGATACTTCTTCTGAGACATCGCTGGATGGATTTGAACCACCAACCTTTTAGCTAATAGCAGAGTGTTTAACACTTGATGTGACCCAAGGAGTCCTAGGAAATACTAACCAGCACATACTGACCTGCCTTCTTTGTCCTTTCCTGTGTAGTAGAAACGGTGACTTACAGCTAGAATGGGGTTAGATAATGATCTCCATGGCACCAAGTTAGACCCCTCAATATCCTCAGGGGGAAGAGGAGAATCACTGTCAACAGCACCCCAAGGCTGATTTCTCTGAGAGGGAGTTGGACATTATCTCCACCCCCTGCCTTTGTATCCGTTTTGACACTCCCTAACACTCTCTACTTCTCAACTGGGTTTGAATTTGTTGCAAAGGCCACTACAGGTTTATAAAGGAAATAACAGGTTACAATTAAGGTTTGGGATCAACAAGTGAGTAACAGGAAGGATTTGTGAGACAGGCTACGGTTCATCAATCATGGCAGTTTTTAAAAAATCATTTTATTGGGGGCTTATACAACTCATCACAATCCATCCATCCATCCATCCATTGTCTCAAGCACATTTGTACATATGTTGCCATCATCATTTTCTTTTTTTTGCATTTGCCATACTGTTTATTATGTATTTCTTTTTTTTTATTTTTTTAAACATTTTATTAGGGGCTCATACAACTGTCATCCCAGTCCATACACACATCAATTGTGTAAAGCGCATTTGTACATCGTTTCTCAAAACATTTTCTCTCCACTCAAACCCCCGACATTAGGTCCTCATTTTCCCCCTCCCTCCCCGCTCCCCCCTCCCTCATGAGCCCTTGTCTAGTTTATAAATGGGTATTTTGTCATATCTTGCCCTGTCCGACGTCTCCCTTCACCCACTTTTCTGTTGTCTGTCCCCCAGGGAGGAGGTCACATATAGTTCCATGTAATCGGTTTCCTCTTTCCTACCCATTCTCCCTTTACCCTCCCTGTTTTGCCACTCACACCACTGGGCCTATAGGGCTCATCCGTCCTGGATTCCCTGTATTTTCAGTTCCTATCTGTACCAGTGTACCTCCTCTGGTCTAGCCAGTCTTGCAAGATCGAATTCGAGTCATGGTAGTGGGAGCGGGGAGGAAACCTTTAGGAACTAGAGGAAGGTTGTGTTTCTCATCATTGTTACATCGCACCCTGACTGGCTCATCTCCTCCCCGAGACCCCTCTGCAAGGGGATCTCCAGTGGCCTACTAATGGGCTTTGGATCTCCACTCCACACCACCCCCCTCATTCACATTATGATTTTCTGCTCTGTGTCTTTGATGCCTGATACCTGATCTCATCAACCCCTCATGATCACACAGGCTGGTGTGCTTCTTCCATGTGGGCTTTTAACCATGCCCGCAAGCAGAGTTCTCAGCCTTGTGTCCTGGCTTCTGCCCGTCTTGGGCAATTGTTACTAGGCTCTTTAGCTCCCCCCAAAAGTGCCTGGAGACACCCCACTCCCCTAGCAAACCTCCTGCCCAAAGGCAATCATCTCTTTTGCTCTGAATCAGGAGAGTGAGCCCAGACTACCATGCTGCCATCTCATTCGATCTTCAGTCTTCAAACTTGCACTCTTGCATTTAAGAGAGTCTGAGAAAATGTGCTCTGATTCCAAGTATTCAGTTCACTCCTGCGTCTTCTTCTGAGATCCCCTCTTAGCCTCGGGGATTGGCTACCTTGATGCCAGCAAAGTGGCAAAACTGATCAATCCAGTACAAATCTTCCACGCACCTGTTTATTTAACCCCATAGTCTCACCCAATCATTTAGGGGAAGCTGCAAGATCTATGGTGAAAAGGGCCATATAATAATAATAATCCAGGGCGCCAATTGCTGATCGCTGAGGACGGCTGGAAGCTCGCGGGCTCCGGGAGCTGTGCGCGTTCGCTCCTTGCAGCTTCGGGATGATCGGCCAGAAGACGCTGCACTCCTTCTTCTCCCCGAGCCCCGCCGGGAAGCGACGAACCCGCAGCCCAGGGACCGGCGTGGCCTCCAGCGCTGAGGAGGACGACGGGGACGCGGCGGCCAGCCCCGCAAGGAAGGCCCGGGCCTGGTCGGACACGCCGCCCGTGTCGCCGCTGAGCCCGGAGCAGCTGGTCCGGATCCAGAAGAAAAAGGCAGCGGCCTTACTCAGACTCGCCGCCCGCAACGTGCCCCGGGGCTTCGGGGAGAGCTGGAAGCAGCAGCTCCACGGAGAGTTCGGGAAGCCGTATTTTATCAAGCTAATGGGATTTGTCGCAGAAGAGAGAAAACACCACACTGTGTATCCACCGCCAGACTAAGTCTTCACGTGGACCCAGATGTGTGACATCAGAGAGGTGAAGGTCGTCATCCTGGGCCAGGACCCGTATCACAGACCCAACCAAGCTCACGGGCTCTGCTTCAGTGTGCAGAGACCTGTGCCACCTCCACCCAGTTTGGAAAACATTTACAAAGAGCTGTCCACGGACTTGGATGACTTTGTCCCTCCTGGCCACGGAGATCTGTCTGGATGGGCCAAGCAAGGCGTCCTCCTCCTCAATGCTGTCCTCACCGTGCGGGCACACCAGGCCAACTCCCACAAGGAGCGAGGCTAGGAGCAGTTCACGGACGCCGTCGTGTCCTGGCTGAACCACAACCTCAGCGGCCTCGTCTTTCTGCTGTGGGGCTCGTACGCGCAGAAGAAAGGCAGTACCATCGACAGGAAGCGGCACCATGTGCTGCAGACCGCCCATCCCTCGCCGCTGTCTGTGTACCGGGGCTTCTTCGGCTGCAGGCACTTCTCCAAAACCAACGAGCTGCTCCGCAAGGCCGGCCGCAAGCCCATCGACTGGAAGGCGCTGTGATTCGTTAAAGGGGCTGCCCGCTGCTGGCCAGGTGCAGGAAGCCACCACTCAAAGGATTGGACGTGAACCCCGCTTTAAAAATACTATTTTTTTCCCTCAAGTGCCTTCTGCCCACGTGGCCATTGCACCTTCTTCGCACGGTGGCTTGAAGGCAAATGCAACGCTGCCGGTCAGTTTCTCGACCGCCACAAGCTGCCACCTGCACTGTGAGGGCTATAGGGGGGCACGGGCACCCTTGTAGGCAGTTAGGTGGCTGTTGCCCGTTTTCACCTGGTGGGTTAGGCTTTAAGTTCGAAGGTGGTGGGTAGTTTTGTTTGGGAAGGCCCCTGCTCACCAGCCTGCACCCTTGTTTCCACCACGGATCTTAGAACGGGAAGAAATGGGGACATTGGGAAGCCCCAGGGAATCTCTGC